AAAAAAATCAAAATAAAACTACGAAAAGTATACAGAGAGCTAAAAATATCTGGATGAAGTCTGTGGGGCATTGAAAATTCCAACTTGAATTTTATTTTGGATGGTGTTACGGAAAATAATCTTTTTATATTATTTTTTAATATAATTTTGATATATTATTAAATAAGTAAATGTATTTAATATTATGAGTTTTATATGAGTTAAAAAAAATTAATCATTTTAATAATATGTTAAATTTTATAATAAAATAAAATAAAATAATTATATAAAAATCATTTTCTTTTTATTTCTCTTTTTTAAAACCACGAGAGAAAAAAATGGGAGTCCACGCGGCAGTCGGTCGCCGGCTAAACGTAGGGCTCTCGAACGAAGTCATGGACAGCTGACCTTTATTTTGTCAATTCAATAAGTCAAAATTAAAAAATGTTACTCTTTCCAGCTCTATTTTTTAAATTGTTTATTTTTTTTATTTTTATGCAAATTAATTTATTTTATATAGTAAAGTAATAAAAATTTAAAAATAAAAAATTGAAGTGCAGTTGGCTATTATTTATAGAGGAGCAAAATTCTTTGGTATAAGGAGCTCACCCTTTATAAATGGTTAAAAAATAATACAATATATGCAATCTAAAATGTATTGTACTATTTTTATTTAAAAATTATTTAATTTAACAGCATATTCAAATTGAAAGGAATAGAAGAAAAGAAAAAAAAGTTTCTATTTAATTATAAAAAAAAATTGAATTGAAGGGCAGGGGGAGGGAAGGGAAGGGGAAAGTGTTTGATAGATGTTGATTACAATTAATAATGGAAATGGGTTTGAGACTTTGAGTAAGTCTTATACTCTATTAATGTAATGTTTTGTATTTTTTGACTTTTTAAAAAAAATATTTGTTTCAATATAGACTATACAAAAAAAAAATAATATAAGTATTAAAATTATTAAAATATTTTTAATTAAACTCTAAATTATTTTAATTTATTAATAATATTTTGATAATTTCAATGTACTATTTTGGTGCAATCTTACTGATAAAAGGTGGACTCCCAATAAGAAATATTCAAGCGATAGCAGTGATATATTTTTAGAAAACCTGCGAGAAACAAACAATTAGCTAGAGAGATATAATAAAGGTGAGGGGCTGACGGTGATGACAGGAGAATAGAGAGCACAAAGGAGTGAGATGCTGCTGCCTCTCCATAATTCATATGCTTTTCATCATCTGTGCCCTCTATCTTCTGTCAACAGTATTCACCACACTATCTCTGACCCTTGTGCATGTCTCAAACAGAAAATTTTTTATTCTATGTGCATAAAGGGAAAGTATGATATTATTTGAGTAATGGGGTATGATGCATATTTCTGTTTCTTTCTCAATTATGTTTGGAAAGGGTCAAAAAGAAAAGGCCAAGCAACCTTCTATCATATTGGAATCAATCTTAGCTCGGAGAATCCAAACAACTGGCTGTTGTTAGCAATGAAGGAGGAATGCAGACAATTTCTAGATTATTTATCCCTTTTGGGACAGCACGATTCTGGGGTTCCCCTTAGAATATTGTTCTTTCCTTGTTTGGTCAGTGCCAAATTACAGTACACTTATTTAGTATTTGTTCGAAAAAAAAAACACACACACACACTCTAGCAAATTACCACCCACCCAAACTAGAAGGACTGAAGGAATATTATCCAGGATTATAAAGGCAAATTAGAAATGTAATAGAAATACAGAATATAAATATTAGGCATGTCAGATATAATGCGCTTGGCACCATATTAAATCCATTTTTTCAAAGTCGCAAGGTTTAATACCCAATTTGGTCCTTAAACTTTCATTTCGAAACTTAGTTCATCCTTTAACTTCAGAAGGGACCAAAACCATCCTTAAACTTTATTTTTTTAAAACCCAAATGGTCCTTCCATCACAGAAGTGCCCAGTTGGCCCATTAACTTGCCACGAATTAATACTTTTATTTTAGAAAAATTACATGGAAAAAAAATGATGATTTTGTAATTTCAATTTCTCAAAATACAGCATCAATGCCGGCGGCCAAAATCCCCTTAGCCATCTCCGTCAATTGAGAGAAAACTACGGCAGTAGAGATCGGCAAGCTGAGCGCAATCAGGACCATCATCCCCAGCATGACACTGGGGCGAGTGTTCATCAACTGCGACCACAACACTCCCATGATCTCGCAAATCATCGAATTGTAGCTCGTATAGACACGTTTCTCCCAATCCATCCAGTCCACAGGCAGCTCGTAGTTCCTCTCGATCATCTTCATCTCATGAATCCTCTTCCAAAGAACGATCATGCTTTCATCAACGATCCGTCTGCTCGAGTCTCGGCCATGCGCCTCTTTCTTCGCCGCGAATATCTTCGTTAAGATCGTTTAAAGCCGAATCCGGAATCCGCATAAAATAATTACATAAATGAATTCTAGAATCGTTTGGTTTTATAAGTTGGGGATTCAACCAAATTAGGAGAATAACTCCTTTGCAAGCTGCTATACTCATTGCAAAGGGACAAAAAAAGCTAAAATCAGCTAAGATCTCAGTCGATAGAAGCGTCGATTCAACTCCATTTTCGCTGCATTAGCTCCACACAACTTCAAACAAAAATGCAGCAAAAATATTGAGGAATTAAGCCAACCTAGGGCATACTACTAATAAGTTCGTTTTCCTTTCTAGTTTCCACAGTTTCTTAGCAACCAAACACAAATTTCCATCGCAATCCTCAAGTAAAAAACAAAATCTACTTTTCTATCAAAGGATTTAAGTATATAAAGCCAAAAAAAATCGCTCACCGATGCCAAGTTGAAAGAGAGTGAGTCTTCGAGAAGGATTGTTATTGTTTGAGGCATTGGTATCGACGCCATTGATGAGAACATAAGAGAAGTTCGGAGACGGCGACCGCATTGAAGGTTTGCAAATTGAAAGACAATGTGTCGAAGAAGAAGACGGTGCAACTGAGAGTGTTGTTCTCAGCATTTTCTCTTATCTTCTTCACCCCAATCCCGATATGGGTTCTAAACCCCAACTAGAAAAGAAAAGGAAAAAGAAAAAGAACAAAAAAAAGGGAAAGAAAAGGGAAATGAGGAAGGAGGAAGGAGGAAAGAGGAGGGTGGAGAGTAGAGAGAAAAATGAGAAAGGGAAAGAATGATGCCGCTGGATTGGTGTTGATGTCGGTGTTGGAGAACAAGGAAATAACAAAAATGGCAGAGAGGGATGGGGGTTGAAGATAAGGGGAGGGTTAATATTTTAATTGTATATTTTTTCTATTAAATTTATTAAAATGATTAAATCATTATTTTCTTTTCCACGTAATTTTTTTGAAATAAAAGTATTAATTCATGGCAAGTTAACATGCCAGCTAGGCACTTCTGTGATGGAAGAACCATTTGGGTTCTAAAAAAATAAAGTTTAAGGATGGTTTGGGTCCCTTATGAAGTTAAAAGATGAACTAAGTTTCAAAATGAAAGTTTAGGGACCAAATTGGGTATTAAACCAAGTCGCAAACTCTAAGATGGCTCCATATTAAATTACAAAATGTTAGTCTTTCAAGTACTTTTTTAAAGTATAATTTATTTATATATAAAATTTATACATTATATATATAATTATAATTATTTATATTTATATTTTTAATAATTAAAATTTATTTATATTTATTAAAACTAATTATATTTTTTATCTAAAATGTGAAGAAATAAATAACAAAAATTTTATATAAATACAATATGTAAAATTTATATATAAATAAATATTCTTACTGTTTATCTATTTTATTCAGCCATGTAAAAGGCCTCGTGCCCCTTATTCTTGATTTTTATTTCCTAGTACATGGCCTTTTTTTAATTAATTGCATGTTAAGAATGCTTTGATCAAACCATCTCGGTTAGTTGAAGTAGTAGGTAGTGATAAAACTACATATATATACCAAAAATCAAATAAAGACTAATCTTTCCTTGTAGACTCGATGCAAGACCCTATGACACAGACACATCTTTCAGACTAAATAAATCTATCTGCAATGCATGGTACGTAGATCAAACAATACTTAATTAGAAAAAAATGGAATCAGATCGATTATTAATAGGTTAAAACCCCTTTTTGGTCCCCGAACTATTGTGTGGAGCCTCGATTTAGTCCTTGAACTAAAAAAATCTCTGATTTGGTCCCTACTGTTTACCCATTTTACCCCAACTTGGTCTTTCCGTTAAAAATATAGTGACGTGTCTCGTTAATTAACTGAGTATGATGATATGTCAAAATATTCTGACACGTCAACTGTACACATGGACAAAACACCTCAGATTCTGGGCCAAAAAAAAAAAATTGTGGGGCTTACCTCCAGCCCCCCAAACTCACTATCTTCTCCCCTTTCTTCCCCTTTCAACCCTAGAAGAGCAGTTCTTCACCGGGTTCTCGAAGGAACCCAGCCGCTGGGTTTCGTTGGAACCCAAGAGCTGGGTTCTTTCGAGAACCCCTGGGTTCTTTCTCGAACCCAGGCGCTGGGTTCTCGAAAGAACCAAGGCGCTAGGTTCCTTCTCAAACCCAGGCCTTGGGCAGAACCCAAGCGCTGGGTTCTTGAAGGAACCCAGCTGCCTGGGTTCGAGAAGAAACCTAGCACCTGGGTTCCTTCGAGAACCCAAGCGCTGGGTTCGAGAAAGAACCCAGATGCTGGGTTTCTTCTCGAACCCAGGCAGCTGGGTTCTTCCCAAGACCTGGGTTCTAACGAACCCAACACCTGGGTTCTAACGAACCCAGCACCTGGGTTCTTTCTCGAACCCAAGGCCTGGGTTCCAACGAACCCAGCGCTTGGGTTCTCGAAGGAACCTAGCCACCTAGGTTCGAGAAAGAACCCAGGTGCTAGGTTTCTTCTCGAACCCAGGCGGCTAGGTTCCTTCGAAAACCCAGCGCCTGGGTTCTTCCCAAGGCCCCAAGAGCTGGGTTCGTTTGAATCCAGGGGCAAAAAAATTTCTATTTTTTTGTTTTGTTTTGTGGGTTTGGTTGTTTGATTGAATTGATTATTTGAATGAAGGAAGATTCGAGAAAGAAGATGCTGGAGGAAGAAGATGATGCAAAATTGTAATTTGGTGGGCCCCACTTTTGTTTTTGTGTTGGGTATGACCATGTCATCATTTATCTAGTTGGACAACTGACGTGTCTTAAATTTTTGATATGTCTGTGAGTTAACGAACGATTTTTTAACTCACAATTTTTAACGGAAGGACCAAGTTGGGGTAAAATGGGTAAACAATAGGGACCAAATCAAGGATTTTTTTAGTTCAAGGACTAAATCAGGGGTCCGTACAATAGTTCGGGGACCAAAAAGGAGTTTTAACCTTATTAATAAGACAAAAATTTTTTTTCAATACAAACTACATAAAAAGTAAAGTATAAATACTAAAATTATCAAAATATTCTTAATAAAACTCTTTTTTATAATTTTAGTATCCAAACTACATTCATACCAATAGAAAGTGGACTTCTAATAACAAATATTCAAGTGATAGCAGTGATATTTCTCGAAAACCTGCTCAGGAGAAACAAACAACTAGCTAGATTAAGGTGAGGGGCTGAAGGTGATAACAGAAGAATATAGAGCACAAAGGCGTGAGATGCTACTGCCTTTCCATAATCCATCTGCATTTCATCATCTGTGCTCTCTATCTTCTGTCAACGGCATTCACCACGCTGCCTCCTCATCACACATCATAATTAGTTATACATGTGTTGAAGCAGAAAAATATCTGGGTCGGGTCATGATTTGGATCTGGGTGATCATCTACTTAAATACCTACAAAACCTGAGAATAATCCTTTGGGATAGATACTTTGACGTTTGAATAAGCAATAATCTATCACTCTAGAGAGAAAAACTAGAAAATATAGAGATAGATTTAAATGAGAGTAATTAACTTGAAAGTAATAGATGAGGGTGTTTATAACCCTTATTTATGACACCCATGACACATGTCCAATTCAAATTGGTCTACTTGTTGCTGTTTGGGTGGTGAGCTCTTTACGTGGCCTTTTTTCAATGAGTAGTTTTTAAGTCTATGGTTTATCGTGACATATTAAACTGACGTTGGATTACCATCCTAACAATATGATTATGTCAATACATAATCAAGAAAAATTATGAAAATGTAGGTATTTAATTACGAGGACATAGGAGCATAAACAATTGAACTAAAGAATGAACAGAATGATTGTAACATGTTGAAATACCTTTTGTACTCTTGTGAATAAAAATTGAATTTTACTTTAAAAAAAAATAAGAGAAACTAAAAGCAGCATTGCTGCAGTATCAAATGCTAAATGAGAGAATTATAATTTATATATAGAGATATGGAAGATAAGAAGGGTTAAGAGATTGTGTAGTTGGGATGACCCCTAGATATGAGACTCCTAACACCCCTATTTCTATGAATTTATTTTTGCCAATTTTGTGTGCCAACTATTTCATTATTCATGAAAATACTGATTTGACAGATGATTCGCATCCAATACAATTCTGGAACCAACTATACATAACATCAATTGAGAGAGATGGCGCTAGGGATTAGGTCGGCATGTGCATGCAAGTTACTAAGAAGCATGGGAGGAAGAGGAAGAAAAGGCACAGAGAGATGATTCTCTGATCATTCTACAAGTCTTAAACGTAAAAGTTTTTATTCTTTGTGCATAAAGTGAAAGTGTGATATTATTGGAGTAGTGGTTTGTATATGACACATTTCTTGTTCTTTCTCAATTATGTCTGGAATTGGTCAAAAGGAAAGGCCCAGCAACCTTCTATCACATTGTTATCAATCTTTGCTCAGAGAATCGCGGCAACTAGCCGCTATTGGCAATGAAGGAAGAATGTAGACATTTTCTAGACTTATCCCTTTTGGGACGGCACCATTCTTGGTTCCCCTTAGAACATTGTTCTTTCCCTGTTTGGTTAGTGCCAAATTACAGCACACATATTTAGTATTTGTTCAAAAAAAAAAAAAAAAGCACACTTGCAAATTACAACCCAAACTAGAAGGAATATTATTAAGCTTTAAATTTGCAAGGCAATCTGGAAAACAGTTAGCTAATATATAAACTATGTCTTGCACCATATAGTAAATCCATTTTTTTAAAATCCAATATGATTAAAGGCAAACCATCTAAACCGAAACTAAAATATAGTTGGAACTTAATATATAACAAGTAACAACCTTCGTTACACCTCTCAAAATCCTAGCTTTTTTTTAAGTGTAAAATGTGCTCAAGAACCGTAAGTTTATCTCATTGTACCTTCAGTTTTTTTTTTTTTCCTTTTTATTCTTTTGGCCTTATTTATAGCACCATATTATGGCTTTTCTACAAACTAGTAGTTCTCCTTTTTAAAATGATACAAGTAATGGGAGGGAATATTGAAGCATATTACCAGTGGATGGTTTGAATTGAATTTCTTGAGCTATGACAGAAGTAATGGAGAATATTCATCATTTAAGGGCTATGGAAAGGATGTGTGGTGGTGTTGACAGTTGATTGGGTTATCTTTATTCTAAACCCTTTGTCTTATTCAGAAAACAACCCTAACCATGTCCTCATACCCCTCCTTCTGACCCCATTTTGTTTGAGTATATATGGGTGGACCGCTTTTCTCCATTCAGTCCCACCCTCAGCATATATACTCTCTCTTTTTTGGCCTAAAAATGATGATATATTTATTCGCTTTCAAAAAAAAAAAAAAGGTAATGTCTGAGTACTTATCCAAGAAAAATAAGCAACAAAGTAAAAGTAAAGCTAATACAGCACAAAAGGACCCAGAGAGTGTGATGCTGTTTCCTTGGACATGTGCCATTTCCTGATTGGGTATTATTTACGGTATAAACGATGCACATCCCCTTCTTAAGCTGGGGATGCTCCCCAGTGTGCTGCAGCATTTAACCAAGTATTAGCATGAAATGGACATAGAGCTAGCTAGAAGGATAGCAATTTTTGGACATATAGCTAGCTAAAAGGATAGCAATTTTGAATCATACTTCAGAAGACGGTCTAGAAAAGCAGGGGAATATATACCTTCTTTACCTTACACGCTCTCTTACCAAAGAAAAACTAACTAAATTTGCAAGGAAAAGACCTTCTAATGTGTGAACTCCACAAAGGTTGAACATTAGTTAACAAAATGAGGAGCATATATTTACCATAACCCTCGCCTTCTGACCATGTAATTTGAAACGACTTAATACTTCATATCAGTATTTCATTAGACACATTCGACAATGACAACTTTTCCATCATCTTGCGACATTAGCCACGAAATTGCGGTGTCAAGGCCTAAACAAGCTGATTACTTGGATTATCTATATATATATATATATATATTTGTGTGTGTGTGTGAAATTAAATGCAGAATAGATGCAATTTAGTTCTATAAAAATTGAAACTATATACCGCAAGCGATACTACTCAAAAGTCTCTCGGGTTTGGTAGGATGAAAGATTACTAAAAACGTAGCTAATATTCTACATGAAATAATAATATATATCTACATTCTGCAACATTAATCACTGCAACAAACAATGATATTAATTACTTAAAGCTCCTTCAAATTGACTATTCAACTCCACAAAGAAGCTTATTCACAATTGATCGAGCTTTACACATTGCCTCTAATGGCTGGGCTTTCGGCATGGTAGCTCCTCCCTTTCCTTCAGTCATATTAACTTTCCCCTCACTCACCCTCTCCCACTCAAAGCATTGAATTATTGACCCTAAAGCCAAGCTCACCACTCTTTTGGCTAACCCTGCCCCAGGACACGCCCTTCATCCTAATCTAAACACATCAACTTGTGGCTCTCCATCTCTCCCTTTTCAAACCTTTCTGGCTTAAAATTTGTTGGTTCATCCCACAAATTCCAGTCTCTATATATGTATAGCATAAGCATTGACTAGTACCACTGTGTCACGTGGCATGTTGTACCCACTAATGATGCAATCTGCGGAAGATAAATGTCGGATGAGAAGAGGGGTTCCTGGATACAGCCGAAGTGTTTTCGATATTATGTTTTGAAGGTATTGGAGCTCCATCGCATCAGATTCCTCAACTAGCCTTTCATCACCAAGTTGACTGTTTATCTCTTCTCTAGCCTTCTTTAGTACTTTTGAGTGGTTTAGTAAATTAGCCATTGCCCACTCTAATGTCATTGCAGATGTATCAGTTCCTGCAAGTATCAATACCATAATAAGGCCTTTTATGATTTGATCAGTATAGTATTCGGGTTCCGATTTCTCTAAACAAAGGAGATGATCTATCATAGTGTTTCCTTCCTTCCTTCTTGATCCGATGCTTATCAATCAATTGTTGCAAAAAGCATCCATTCTCTTAGCAAGCTTTATACGTTTCCTCTCATGAATCTTGATCAAGCTCACCATTTGCAAGAAACTCACTGCATTCCTAACTCCACCATACTGCAGGATCATTTAAGAAAATAAAAAATTTAAGGGATAAAGAAGTTAGTTTTCAATTATTATAAGAAGTTATTTGACTTTTTTAAAATGTATTTTTAAGTAATACTTTTCATGGTAGTATACATAAATGATAATTGAGATTTTTTTTGAATGAGTCAAGCAACTTATATTTTTAAACAAATAAAGTAAGTATATATAAATTCAAATTAAACTAAATTAACCTGTATTATCTCTGCTGTAATTTGCTTGAACTGTTTTGTCTCTTTATAATCGGTTACATTCTCGCCATAATACCACTTCCCAACTTGCATTCTCACGATCATATTAAAGTCAAGTCCACAAACATCAATTTTAGCTCCACTCTTGCAAAGTCTAGGCGTGCATTTTGAGATAATTTCAGTAACAAACGCTTGACCTCGTCTTTTCTTACTTGAAGAAAAGTATGAGGCGGGTGGCGAAGAAGATTTCTATGGCACTAATGCGACAGAGGTTGCGTCAATGATTATCATAGGAGGAACTTGTCATGATGGTGTGATTGTAGCGTATATGCTTACCAAAGAGTGACTTGGGGCACTTTGCCAAAATGATGTCGTTCTTGGTGAAGCATTCTTCAGCCACCGATGCCGAGGAGACCAACACTGCAAAATGGGATCCCAATTTTAGGGAAATGATTGGACCATACTTTTGGGGGAGCTTGAGTAGAGCACGGTGGGTAGGGGTTTTTAGGAGATGAAGGTGGCTGATAATGGAAAGAGAAGGTGGGCTAGGAGAAAGGTTCTTGTGTCGTGTTTTCGACAGAAACACCAACATGAAGGCAAGGAAGAGGATAGCTGGAAGAGATGGATACAAGATGCTTTGATCTTCCATAGTAGAGGGTATAACATTCGCCATTTTAACAAAAGTATTCCAAGGAATGAAATGAAGAAATATGTGTGTGAATTTTGCCTTATATCCTTTTTTTGTAGATTTTTCTTGGAAGAATTCTATTCTTTCATTATTTAGAATAGAGTCCAAAAGAATTGTTTATGTTTCGGAAAAAGCTAAGGTAATTAAAGATTTAGGAGTTGAAATCTTCTTTGAAATCTTCAAAGTGCAATGCAAATTAAGCAGCTAGTTTTTGTTTCTGTAATTGCCATAGTCAGGATATGGAGAAGATACAAATATGCCGACTAAACTTCTTGCTTTTTAGTGTTTGTGACAACGTGATATATAGTACAAAAAATATGCAGTAATGTATGACGATGATATCAAATACTACTTTAATTAATTTCACCGAAGTGCGGAGTTTCTCTCTTGTAGTTAATGAGATTGAAGACCCCTTGAAAAGAAAGGTGAAAAAATAGAATTGCCTAGTTCCTTTTTTTTTTTTTTTTAAGAATAGCATGGGGCAATTATTCTAGAGAAGAAAACAAGGTTTTGCACTAACAATTCTACATATATATAATTGAAATTGAAATTGTAAGTATTAAGTGATGTTCTTATTTCAATCAAAAGAAATTTCAGTTTAAAGTTTAAAACAGATGTATTTAAATTTAAGAGAACATATATATATATATATAACTTCTCTTTATTATAAAACCATTATTAATTACAATCAAATTTTCTTTAAAAAAAAAATTGAAAGTTGAATATAAGTTGACATAAAATTTCATTAAATTAACAACATATGAGAAGAAATATAGATCATTGAAAAAAAAAATGTAGGATTCGAAATAACCAACCTGAAATCAGACTGTTAATAAGAAACATTCAAGTGATGGCAGTATAATATTTCCCAAAAACCTGCAGAGGAGAAACAAACAATGGTAGCTAGACATATAATCAAGGGTGAGGGGCTGAAGGTTATGACAGAAGAATAGAGAGCACAAAGGAGTGAGATGCTGCAGCCTCTCGATCATCCATATGCATTTCATCATCTGTGCTCTCTATCTTCTGTCAACAGCATACACCACTGCCTCCACATCACATACCATAATTAGTATATGATAATATTAGTAGATTGAAATGAAGAGAAATTAAAAGCAGTACTGCTAGCTGCAGAATCGAATGCTAAAGAGAGAATTATAATTTATATATATCTATAGATATGGTACTTCCCACAACTAAGAGACCATGGAGTTGGGATGACCTATATGGCTGGGACTCCCAAACACCCCAATTTATATGAATTTTGTTGGTCAAAATTTGTGTGCAAACTATTTCATTATTCGTGAAAAATCCAGATTTGACATTGGATTCGTACGCATCTAATTTAGATTTCTGGAACCAGCTATACAACAGGAAGGGTATACATGCATGGTGACATAAATTGAGAGGAGATGGCGTCAAGGATTAGATATGCATGCATGTATGCATGCAAGTTACCAAGAAGCATGGGAAGGGGAAGGGGAAAGAAAAGGCAAAGAGATATATGTTTTGCTGGATATAGAATCCCTCCAATTTGACTAAAGCGGCCTTATCCCTGTAATTGCGCATCACCCCCCTTCACAATCGATAATGTTATAGTTGCAATGTTATATAATATTATATATTTATAATTTAACATATCGTTATATAATTAATTTTTTTATTTAATACTCTACTTATAATATTATATGTATCCACTCGTTTTAATAATATATCGTACTATTTTAATAACATATCATAATTATAAGTTTATAATCTTATATGATATAATTATAACATCATGTATAAGCATCTCACCATATTCTCTAATCTTTTGTAATATAAGTCAGAATATCCTTGTACTCTTCAACAAATACTTTTGTTTTGTATCAAAAAAATTAAAAATTAAAAAAGAAAAAAAGAAATCTCCCCTTAAATTAAGTTGACCGTATTTTGATTGTGTGCATGACAGAGTGATATTATTGGATGATGGTGCATATTTCTTATTCTGCCTCGATTATGCTCGGAAATGGTAAAGAGAAAAGACCGAGCAGCCTTTAATCATGTGGCATCAATCTTTGCTTGGAGAATCCTGACAACTAGCTGCTGTCGGCAACGAAGGAAGAATGCAAACAATTTCTAGACTTATCCTCTTCGAGAAAGCACCGTTCTTGGTGCTCCTAGAAATAGAATATTAATCTTTACCTGCTTGGTTAGCGGTGCCAGGAACACACCAGAACTAGAAGCAATATCTTCCAGGATTAATCAGCCAGTTTGGATCGGAAAGAATATTGAAGCATGAGTGGATGATTTGAAATTGAAATTACTGCAGCAATGGCCAAAGTAAACGGAGAATATTCATTATTTCCAAGAGAAATGTGGAAAGGATACTGGTTGTGTTAATTGGGTTATCTTTATTCTCAACCATTTGTCTTTTTCACAAATCAACACTACCCGTGTCCTCAGCCTTCTCCTTCTGACTCCTTTTTGGTTTGAGTATGGATAAAAGTCCTCTCCATTCAATCCCACGATCAGCATATACTCTTTTTTGGCCTAATATTCACTATCAAAAAATAGTAATGTCTGAGTCTGTATCCGAGTAAAATAAGCCACAACGTTAAAAGTAAAGCCAATACAACAAAAATCAACCAGGTGGCGCATCCTTCTCCAGTATGTGCACCAAAGAGGATAGGAGTGCAAGGAGCCAAGCTAGCAATGCACTTCCCCTCTTTTGAACAGGGGGTGCAACCCAGTGGCCTGCAGCTTTTGATCAAGTATTACCATGAAATGAACATAGTGCTAGAAGGATAAAAAATTTTAATCGAACTTCAGAAAAGACACTAGAAAGGCAGGGAAATAACTACTTTACCCTAGTCTTTTACCAAAGAAAAACTAGCTAAATTTGCAGGGAAAATACCTTCTAGTGTTACCTCCATAAAAGTTGAATGTTAGTTAACAAAATGAGGAGCATACGTACAAGACCCCTTGCCTTGTGACCATCAGCTGCTACTATCTAGTAGTATCATTTAGATAAATAGTTATTAGTTGCTACAATGTAATTTGAAATGAATAATAAAGATTTCATAGAAGTATTTCATCAGACACATTCAATGATGACAACTTGTCCAATAAATGAAATCATCTTGTGAAAATAGCCACGATATACGAAATTAAATGCAGAATAGATGCAACTTAGTTCCATCCATCTCTGTTAATGGAAATTAAAAGTATAATTGAGTAATGGTGGAGAGATTTACAACTTTTTCCGGAAATTTCGAACAAATGAAAATCATCCCTAATACCAAGCAGCGTTGTTTCCATAACATTGTTATTTCCAATTTCCATACTTAAGTTGCTGCTGAGGAAATTACCATCTTGGAAAATGCAACTGCCAATTTGTTGTGCTCAGCTAGCAAGCTCTGTATGACAGAATTTGGAAAGTAAAACATGAAATAGAGGAATGGTTACAAACAGTCCAGATCCAGGTCCAGGTCCAGGTCCAGGTCCAGGTCCAATCTTTGATCAGAAACCTTAGTGGTGGTAGACTGATTCCCCAGTAAAGTTACCAAAATTTGGAAATTATAAATCACGTTTTACCTGACAACAGTTAAATGAGGTAACTCCAACCCTGCTCAAGAATAGGATTAGGCATGGTGATAGATAGAAATGCATCATTAAGGTCCTCAACCCATGTTAGATTCAGGACGTCTTTAAAAGTCAAACCACATTCCAAAACTGTGAGAGAACCAGAAAGAATACTCCTAAAAGACTAAATATCCAACCATCCTCATATGACAGATTGAGTCATTTTTTATTGCCTACTCCCCCATCGACTACCAGCCTAGAGGATTTTATTTGGGTTTCTAATTCCTACATATCATAGTGGAATCAAGCCAAACACCAAAACCCACAAATGGAACCAAGTTCCCCAGAAAAGGCAACAACTATTTCTGTATCTAAGAGAATGATACACAAGAAAAATATATATATCAACACATAAAAATTTAGAATATCAAAAAGTGAAAACTGATGGTTGAGAAGAAAAAGAACATGACTTACATCACAAGCGGGGGAATAGGCAACAACCCAGATCTGAACAAGTGTAGAACTAGAAGGGAAAGGGAAGAACAACTGGAAATCATGGGGATGGGTGGCATCGGAAAGAATATCCAACAAACATAGGGTAGAGATCTTTCTTTCCATACTGCCCATCCCAACAATTTCCAGTAGCTCCAATCTTCCTTTCCCACTTCTCAGTTTTCTCACATAATGGTGTACTAGGGACAAGCCTCTGAATTCTCAAAGTACTTACAGTAGGGAAAATAGAACACAAACATGTTGGTATGAAACCACAAACACATCTGGTAAAAGTTCATTGCAAACACAAAAGCTGAATAAATTTTTTTTTTTTTCTTGTAGCTTATGTTATACAATTATTGATTATACACAAGCACCATGATTATATTAAAGCATCATTCTGCTTAATGTTTAGGGAAACACAAAATAGAAAATATCTTGCTTCATTGTTATATTCTTTTTTTTTTTTTTTCTTTTGTCAAATCAAAAAATTTTGCATAAACAATTATTTGGATAAACACAAAAACATTAGCCTGTAAGTAATGTATAACAGAATAAAGCATAATTTGTAAAGATCCGACCTGCACACGTTACAAGTATAAAAAGCACATACAGCCCTTCTCATGGAGAATTTTGTTTAGCTGCTATATTCTTTGGAAAAAAAAAAGCATAATATCCAATCTTTCATTCAAGCAAATACTTGCTCTGTCCCAAAATAATTTTGGACAAACTCAAAGTCAAAAAACAACAGTTATTTTGGGAAGATCAGCAAAACCAGTAAGTAAAACGCCTAAGTAGAGTGAAGATAAGATAATGAAATAAATCTTGCATTTTCAGATTGGAGAAAACACAGAATAAAAATAAAGAAAAAAAAAATCAATGGACAGGAACTAGTAAATCCATTAAACAAAATTCATTACACACAGAAGATCTGTGAAAACAGAACCATGAAATACCTTGAAACGAGAGAAAAACAAACAATAGTGAAGGTGCTCAAGTCGGCTAGGGTTTTGATTTTGTAGTGGTAGTGGTGACAGACCGCAATATTAATAGAGCCTTTCTGGGAAAGAGCGGGCCGAAAAAGAGGGAAGAAGGCAACGAAAGAACCCAATGAGGCCCAATTACTCTCTATTGGACGAAACACAGGCCACCAACAAGTCCAACTAGAAATCCAATTGCCCCCAGGAGGCCTGCTAAAAACATTTGAAATGAGGATCTAACCCTGTTGAGGCTACATAAAAATGCAATTTTATTAAGGCTACTGTATAATTTGACCTGAAAAACATTTTTTTGTGATATCTAAATTAATTTTCTTTGGTAGGTTAAATAGTAGGTTATACAATAAAGAATAATATAAAGATTTAATTTTTAATTACTTGGACTTCCCAATAAACTGGTTTTAAAAGGATTTTTCCTCTTAACATCTTTTGTTAGCAAACTTCACTTTGGAAAATTAAGCCATTCTTATCATAGACCATCACCTAAGAAGTACAGTTCAATTAGTAGGTTTGTAGTAAACAAGGGAACAATATTTGGAATAGTTATTTGTTGTCTTATGCAAGAGAGGAAACATACATTTGACAAATCAAAAATTTTATTCAATGTTTTCAGCTGAATTTTCTCTCTCTTTTATCTTTTTTGTACATTTTCCTCTATTTCTCTTAATTATTCAAATCCAGCACGAAGGCAAATATTGATTACCATTCAATCCATCCCCTTTCCTTTTCCATTTCTTTTGTTCATTAATTTGTCAAAATGGACCCAGTCTCTTTCTTTTCTTGGTCTCATCTGTTGATAAACTGAAGTTCTAAACCTATTGTTTGAGAAACTGATATCAATTAACATTGCAGTGATACATCAGTGCAAGTTAAACCCTTAAAAACAGCCTATAGAAACAAGCTAGAACTTCAGTCCCTTCCTAACTTAAGCATTTCACATGGTGCCTTCTTACAAATACTTTCCAAGCATTATCAACTGCTTCCAGTTTCAGATAATCCCCCAATAGCTTGAACCAATCCAAAATGTCATTTTATTTCTCATCAAGACATTTATTTGAAGGAGGTAAAGAACGGAAAGACAATAAGTTCCAGCTTTCGTGACATACATTGATAATTCACATATGCAACATTATATTGCATATTCGTTGTTAGAACTTTAGCAGCCTAAATTTTATGAAAAGTTAGTATTCAGAATTTAGAGATAATTCTCCATGATTTATACGTATAATGAAAATCTTCTAATAACTGAAAAGGTTTAGACTGCTTAAGAAACAACAATGTCAAGATCTCATATAGAAACAAAATAACTGCATAACCACGCCAGATTTCCAAGTAATAAATCCTAACATGAAAGATCTCTACTTTCACGAATAGCTAAAGATAATCAGACAGACCATTTACTACAATCACCAACCACTGAAGTTGCCCTTAGGTGGATAGTCTAAAAACAGAAAATTTTTCAAACTGACTGATAGATCAATACCACAAGCAAGATAGATTAAGCTCTGATTACAGCTAGCACAAAAACATGGAAGGCATGGAAACCATATGCATATCTGTTGTACACACTTTCAATTGTTCTACATTGAAGCAAAACTTTAAATCACGGCCAAAGTTAATTTTATTAGGTCCACATCAATAAAGGATGCTATGTCTGATATTCTGATCTAGTGATCTGTCAATAACTAAACTAAGCTACCAAGAATCTTAAAGGTTAGAATTCCCATCCCAGACTGTGTCTAGATACCAGGATCAGATGGAAGAAAATTGCTACCTATTATGTGACTTAACCAATCATTAGAACATGATGGTAAGGGAGGCCACAGATTCTATCAGAATTTCAGATTAAGGTACATGATTATTTGCTCCGAAGCATTTCCGTAAAAAAAAAAAAAAAAGAAATATTGAGTGCTAAAAGGCAATGATGTACAAATGGGTTAATGGGGATATATAAAGTTTGCATGAACTCAACAAGAAGTTGTTGGAGATAACTCACTAGATTAAGTTAGCATTCTGACCCCACAAACAATCCATTATAGACAATAACTACAAAGAAACATGGTCTAGATTCACATCATCCAACCAAAAATATAAAAAAACATTTGAATGGCATCACCACCACCATAATCTATCTAGTACTCACCACTCTACCAAAAAGTTCATCTAAAAATTGACCCAACTTAGAGAAAGAGAGGGAGATGGATGATAACTAACTTGAATTGAACGTTGCTTATACCATTGTGGAACAAACATCATCATTACAAAAGTTGAAGTTTGTTGTTTTGGTTGGTTATGCGTGCACATCAATTTTGCATGCATTATGTTTGGACTACTCCTACAGACATTCCCACGACATACAATACATTATACATCAATAGCTATCACAACACGAACCGAAAGTACATCAATCACTCTATCAATGAAAATAATTATGAATTTTCATTATTTGGTGTGTTTGTTATTTATGATTATTTTATCAGAATTATGTCACATCCAAAAAAAAATTATCAGAATTATGCAAGGACATTCTTAAATTCTATACATTCTGTTGAATCAAACCTCTAAATCAACTTGAGATGAGCATCCTCTCCTGCTCTGTAAGGGAGTGACGGAAGTGGCATCTGTGGCCGTACGGACAAGTTTTCCCATCAAGAACCATCTTGCAAACCTCGGTCTTGTATCTTGGATGCCTGATAACTGGACGCAGCTCGGAGATGCCGTGAGCGAACTGGCAATGATCGCCGTAAGGGCACGAGCCGGTCTCCTGCCACTTATTGCACAGCTCAGTCTTCACCATTCCTTGACTGTACACGTCGAACTCCAATGCCTCTTCATCTTGCCGATCCCCTGGTAGCGCATACCCTTGCTGCTTTACCTTCACACATATAACAATTCCTCTTTTAAAACTAATATTTTAAAATAATTTTTTATTGGCATCCTCAAAAAGAAATTTTGATTGGCAAAATTTTATATTTTCCTTTTTCAAAATTTGTATAAAAAAATACTTAATAATAAATTCTTGAATTTCTAAACAAATAAAATTTACAAGAGAAAAATTTTTGTTCCTAAAATCCTAGCTTTTTCTTTTTTTGGGTCCTTTGGTGATGGAATCCTAGCTAATAAATATGACCGAATACATTAAAGAGTATTTTATA